GAAGACTTGAACCACGGACAACTAGGTCAGAATGACCACGCGTCGGGTTTTCTACGCACTTCTTTGTTAGTTCCTGGTAACGCAGAGACGCGAGGGCTCCTAGGGCAGCGCGTGTTTCAGAAACGAGAATGACGTAAGAACGAACTTCACAAGCAACGAGGTCTGCTGATGAAATATTTTCGCCTTCGCCTTCCTAATTGACGCAGTTTTCTAAGACACTTCATTCCTCAACCTAGCGCAGTAGCAAATCAGATGACCAATCAAATGGTTGACATTTCTACGCTGTTACCTCAAGAAGAAACAAATTTGAGCAAATTCTGTGAAGGTTCCCACTGCCTCTTGGCTCTCCTTTATCTTTGTGCTAAACTTCGACATTACGTACGGGAGTTAAACAAGCTTGTAGCTCAGATAAAAGGATGCAGATAAGACGGTCACTTATCTCAGCCATTTAGCTACTTCCTGCAATCTACTAACGTGACAGCCGATTTAAAAAGGCTATCTTAAATAAAATTAGCTCGTGTAGTGTGAAACAGGAACATCGCTTACGAAATCGCTGTATACGCAGGTCACAGACACAAGAAAGGCCGAATTCCCCTATTCGTTAGGCAACGTGGGCAGGAAATTCTGGGAGTACTAGTGCTTCGCCCCTAACCTGGAAGGGATCACAGAAATCGATAGAAATACGTCACTGGTTCACAGCACGAGAATCGCTTTTATCAACTGGACCTCGTGAACAAGTGCGAAGGCTTCTTTGGCGGTATTTGGAGAATTCACTAAAACAAGAAGTTGCCTCATTCCGCTGCTTCAATCTGTACACGAAGGTCAGGACTAATCCAAATAAACAAGTAAAACAAAATGAGCTTATTCAACAGTAATTTGCTTAAAACAGCAACACACGTAATTTATCGCATTAATTAATCTAGAAATTGGAGCGAATAAAATAAAAGTATCCATAACAAAATGTAAATATCAGCGTAAATAATTTGTACATCTGCTCGCTGACGATAAATCTCTTCCAATTTATCCCGTCTGTGACTAATGTCATTCTCCTCAGTCTATTCGAAATTCATAATCGAGTTTTTCAAAATATCATCGAGCGACTACAGTAACACAAAACAGAATACGCACGGACATTTGTATAAAAATCTAGTAGTTTTGGACCGTCCTTTCCTGTTTTAAAAATAATTCTGGAAGAACCTTCAACTGATGCACCTCTCGTCATTATATTTTTATTACAGAATAACTGAGATACAAGTCCATGAATATAATTTTCTTTTTTGTATTTTATGAAAGAGGGTCTCAATTTCTATACACCTGGAACGCGTCCCACTGAAATACATCATAATTCTTCTTTCATTTACGCCGATTCGATATACACCGGCGTAAAACAAGGGTTCGTTCTGCGCATGCTCATTCGACATGCTGATGCAATAGATTGCATCATTGCAGTAGAACGAAAACGATTTGCCGGCGTCGGGGTTTCGGCTTCCGGGACGCGAGCTTCAACAAAGCCGGCGGAAGGAGATTTGTGGCGGTCGACGGCTTCGGGCGTCGAACGCCCCACTTCTGCATTCCCGTCTGTGTGCTTAAGGACAGGACCGCTTTTACGACGTTACAGAGAAAAAATCTGTCCTTGTTGGTAAAAAAAAAGTTTGAAAAGTCGCTTTAAAAAGAATTGACAGACGGAATACAATGTGCACGCCGACGTAATATTTCTGCGCAACTAAAACAGACGACTGAAGACAGAGCAAAGCCCCAATTAGGATGGTAAATGCAAATAATCACTCGACAAGACGATAATTACAGCCGGCGGAAAATAAACCGTCGGCCGACATGACGGCGTTATATTTTTACTTGTTCGACTGGTTCGGCGATGACAATAATTTTCAAATGACCCGGACTCCGAACGACTTGCAAATGAGAGCTATTTCAGGCAACAGCGACGTTTACACCTAGAACGAGATTCGAGCAAAATTTTATGCCACCTCAGCGTTATAATACATTTAACATAATAAAAGCAACGAAACGTCTTCCTTTCGTTCTTCTAAATCGGTCTGCAAATTTTAAACATCTACTATCTCGAAACTGAGACAGTGAACCGATGTTCTGAAGCTTGCAGCCGTGGTTCGGGATTCTAACGTCGTTTAGACTCGTAAGTACGTGCCAGCTCCAGCCCTGAAGGCCACAAGACCAACATCGACGAGTTCATGGCCGTAAAAATCTCAAAATCTTACGATTCAACAGGCCCGTTCTTAGACTCCACAGATCAGACCTCAAATTCTCCTTGAATCACAAGTTGACCAAATTCCATTACTTGAGCCAATTAATAGTCTGCATCGATGACCGGCCGGCCATACGAGGAAGTTACGATAACTGGTTTCAAACAAGGTCAATCTTGAAGAGAGCCCAGGCGCCTGGCTGTCTAACGGCATTCTCTGATCGACATCTTTTACTACATCTCCGTGTGCAGTTTCGAAGTCAGCTCACAATAAGAGTACAATGGAACATCGCACTCCTGGCTCTCTGAAAACGTCGAGATTAAAATTGTACGTTACCACGCACAAGGAAACATTCAACCGTAGTCTCGTTAAATTTGCAATTCATTTCCAGGATAATTCAACGTCGAAAGACCTCCTCCCACGGCCTCAAGTGGCCTGCACTGCACTGCATTACAAGGGGTGCACATGTGTGAGGGTGGAGTAGCCAAACACGGCGAATGAGGCACGGGGGAGTCCCTGGTTAACCTCATCGTAATTTGTTCCCTCGTGTGTGGCCCCAGTCCCGCTGCCGTTTTGCTGGGATGCATCGATAGGTTAGGTTAGACCGAGCTGAGGTCCCGCCTACAGACTGACCGTGCGATAGTACACAGCTACAAGATAAGTGAATGCGTTGACTTTGGCCTCCGCTCAGGGAGTCTGCACAAAGTGAGAATTTCCCCCGCGGAAGTTTACTCAGAGGCCCAAGGGCCTCAGCTGTAAAACCTGAGCGAAAAACTGCAACGGATTTAATGGCGTCTCCATCTGAAATAAACGCACAACCTGGTGATCCGCTCGTCACAGACCCGTCTGCAAACACAACTGCGTCATCTGCAAGGTGGTGCATTGGGGACCCCAGACTCGATTCTAGGGGTCTGGCCAAATAATGCAGCATCTCCCTCCTTTATCTGGAGTCCTGTACATGCAATGGTTAACATTCGGAACACGAGTTCTGTGAATACAGACTACACTAACACTTCTCCATCTTCCTTGCACAATATTCTTAACAGACTCACCACATAAGACGCTATCAAAAATGCGGCATTCACTCTCTTCTGGGCATCCATGGTTGTGTAATGCACGATCTTCTTCTTTGCCAGCGAGAAGGACTGAAACAAAGAGAAGTCTCCGTCAAAATCTTTTGTGCGAGCGCAGGGACATCTTTTCTTAATTACTTTACGGAGTGACATCTTGCGGCGCCAGGCGTCGGTTCATGCACTAAATGTCTCGAGTCGAGCGCGACGCATGTCGGCATATTGGCCGAAGTCCGGTCAAAAGTCAAGACAATGACGCGGAGGGTCTGGTTCTCCACGAGTTTCCTTCCCAAGGCCACGCCATGAATCAGACTGCAACGCCTCTTGTGAAGCAGTTCGTCGGAACCTGACTTCTGCACCACGACCATGCCCGAGGCCAAAGAGCACCCTGATGGCAGCTGCAGGGCATTCGCAAACATGGGAAGGGGATGAATTACTGGCGGAGAGAGAATCAGGCAGAGTATTAGAGTGGACGGATGACATACGAACCACAAAGAAGGGCAGAGACCCTTCGCCGAAGCAGGTTCTGGAACGGGAGGCAGAAGGTGAGACACTGCGAAGGCGGTCGAAAGCTTTTGAAACCGAAAAGCGTCCAAGGGCACATTTTCGGTTTTTAGAGTTCCATCTTCAACTTTTCAGCATGTCAGGAAACATTTAATTTTTTTCAGTATTTTAAAATTAGTTTTACAAAAATTCAAGGTCAAACGCAAAATTTAACTACCTTGAAATGTTCTGACTTTATATTTTACTCTAAAGTATTGTGATTAATTAATGGAAGTGTGTTTTTGTAGGGGTGGAGTGTACTTGTTTATATTATATGTATTTTGTTGTAATTGTGTAGTGTAAGGACCACTGCCACCGGGCGCAAACAAAATTGCATTAACTAAAATAATAATAATAATATTATTTCAATGCTCGTGGTTCAAACGAAACGATACAACTGCATTTATGGTCATGTGTGAGGCACATTTGCCCGTTTATTTAAAGTTTTAAATGACAGAATCTCCTGAAACAAGTAAAAGTGAATCATAAAAGTCTGAACACATTAATTCCTAACGGTTCACAGCACGTGAGGTGTCCGACTCTGTATTAAGTCGTGTTAGCGAAGGGGGTTGATATACTTCTAGGGCGTCTGTGGGGCGTTCTCTTCACTAAACCACGATGACAGTTGCGTCATGTGAATCCGACCTCGTCCTGTCGTATGTTTTAAACTCCGGAGACTGCAATGCCCTTAACATCGAACACCTCGTGGCTGAACTTTCGGCGAGAGGAAACTGTAACCTGTTTGCAGCAACGTCATTTGCTCTCTTCCTACTCCAATCCTTGGTCCCACTTGGTGCTGTAGGTTAAGTCGTGGCTGTTGGTGGGCGGCCTCAGTGGGCAGTTGTCACGCCAACACCTCAAAAAGCGAGGTGGGGCTGATCCATGCATGAACACGGCGTTCTCTTGCGCTCGAGACCTAAAGCGGAAAATAAAGAATCCGTCCCTCTCAGTTCTTGCGTGCGCAAGTTTTGGGTGCATACGGCAACGGGTAAAGAGTGTCGGCTTAGCAGGAACCTGCCCTGCCGATCCTGCGAGATTTTAGAGAGATTCGATTCCTAATATTTAACAGTGTTTAATTCACAGACTGACACATAAGTAAAAACTCTAGCCAAAGGAAACGCGCAAGAAGGTTAATCTACGTATTGTCCAATTTTACAAGAGTAAGGCAACTGACACGCGAACATACGTCGACATACTTCAATAAGTTCCATAAAACAACGGGAATTTCTCGACTAGCTCAAACACTATTTAACACCTTCTCGGTTGGGTCTGAGCTCCATCGACCAGAGACCTTAAGTCAGATTCTAGAAGGGCACAAAATCTTGATTTCAGCTTATTAAATAATACGGGAAACGAAAGATAAAAGTTCTCAAGTATAATTAATCAAATCAATGGCCCCGGCTGGAATATTTGCTTTCTTAAACAACATTTTCAAATGCTCCGATCTGCAGCGTCTACTAAAGGAAATATTCTGTATTGGAATGTTACGAGTGAAAACTGAACATGCAGTATAAACTGTCCAGGTCAAATTTAGTAAAAAAAAACATCGAGCAGCTTCGGACACTGGAACATGCCAGGACTTTCCATCGAAGCTTTCATTTCCCGCATTTTGCAAAAAAGACATTTCTCGTGGGCGGGCAAAAGCTGGCCACAAGAAACAAGTGGGTGGCAAGCGTGGATTCAGCATTTCATTAGAACGCGTCAAATGCCAACGAAGAGCTGCCTTTCTTCAAGATTACACACACGCCATGCGAAACGCAATCAGCCCGACTCCAGAGGACGTTTTTGAAGCTCTCCATCATTTACAGAATAATTTTCGAAATAAACGTTTCCACACAAATTCTGTACAAGAAACGAAGTCAGTTTTGAAAATTCTAAAAACTGTGACACTCGTGGGCACAGGTGAGAGAAGACTGAAGAAAATGTATTACGATTATTTTCGTACCAGGGAGCCAAATATCCGGAAATATGAATCACAACACCGGGTATCAAAGGGTGCGATATTTACAATTCTCATTTCTGCGAGACTCAACAGACGGCGATTTGTAATATCGGCGCTCACGAAGTTGCGTTGTGGCTTGGCCCACGCATGGACTTGGGAGACTTCCAATATGGACGCGACAGACGCCGTGCAGAGTGAAGACACGGCGACACAGCCCCGAAGGTCACGAAACACTTCTCACCGCCGTGAAAATCTCGTTTCACATTCATAAAATGTGTCAGAGAACTTTTTGACCAATATTAAGTGTTGCAAAGCCTTCGCAGATAGGGGGCCTAGACAGAGCCG